TCTTGCCTTGTCACCTAGCCGTTAACTTGGCTCGGCAGCTAGGCATCCTCTTGCCTTGTCGCCTAGCCGTTAACTCGGCTCGGCAGCTAGGCATCTTCTTGCATTGTCGCCTAGCCATCATCTCGGCTCATCGGCTAGGCGTCATCTTGGCTTATTGCCTAGGCATCATCTTACCTCGTCGCCTAGGCATCCTCTTGCCTTGTCACCTAGCCGTTAACTCGGCTCGGCAGCTAGGCATCCTCTTGCATTATCGCCTAACCATCATCTCGGCTCGTTGACTAGGCGTCCTCCTGCCTCGTCTCCTAGGCATCCCCTTGCCTTGTCTCCTAGCCATCGTCTCGGCTCATCTTCTAGGCACTGTCTTGCCTTGTCGTCTATGCATCTTTTGACCTTGTCGGTTTGGCATCTCCTGACTTAATCCAGTAACAAGCCGTATCTAGATCACGTGCGTCGGCGTAACACTCTCCCCCGACAATATCTAATACGCCTCGGTATTGTATTTTCTGGAAAAGCTTTAGTATTAGTTTTTCTACGCACCGCAGCACTATGGGCGTCTTACATTAAGAACGGCACAGTTTTCGCAAAACGCCTCGTCGCTTATTCGGCTCGGGCACAGTTTTCGCCAAACGGTTCGTCGTTTATTCGGCTCGGCACAGTTTTCGCAAAACGCTTCGTCCTTTATTCGGCTCAACACAATTTTCACAAAACGCCTCGTCGTTTATTCGGCTCGACACAGTTTTCGCAAAAACGCTTCGTCCTTTTAAAAAAAACTCGGGGAAAAACAGTTCGCCTGTCCCCGTTGTCAAATCGCCTCGCGTACATTCTTTCCCAAGGATATCTCATCAAGCAGCACAGACTGCGCCACGCCTTGCCTTTAACAAAACGGCTCGGCATTATCTTTTATCTTGAAACGCCTCGTCGCTAAAATAGCTCGGCACTACGTAAACACCACGTCGTTGAAAACAGCTCAGCGCTATCTTTGTCAAAGTAACCTCATCTTTTGAACGGCTCGGCATTTTCTTTCAAACAGCCTCGCCAAAAAATGGCTCTCTATT